AGTGGCAAGTGAGTTGAGATACTGCAATTATACAGCTGCAGCTGGCATACTTTAAGTCAGAATCCAACACTTATTTTAATCTGTGTGTGGCCCACCTCATTATTTTATTTACGACTTCCATCCATGCCTTTTTTTAAGTGGTGAGTTGTATAATTATTTCATTATATATTACAATGTAATAATATAAATAATAAATGTTATGCACTTGAATCATCCCTAAACCATCCCCCTACCCCTCAGTCTGTGGAAAAACTCTTCCACAAAACTGGTCCCTGAGGCCAAAAACGTTGGGACCACTGAATTAAAGAGTTTTGCCACATTTTGCTCAAGAGGGGGCCACACTCCTTGCCCTTATGGGCACCTTCTCTGGGTGAACATTCTGATATTCAAAGGAAGCAGAGCTCTGGCTGGGGGATTTCCCATGTTACCATATTTGTAAGGTCCTCTGAAGATATGATGTACTCCTGCTTTCTCAAGATGGAGAAAAAGAAGAAGGCCGTCTCACACTCCAAATGCAGTTGGGACTTTTTTTCCATTCTGAAATTTTTTGGAGGTAGAAAAGGGTTGCTTCTCTTCAAACCCCTTCCATGTGCTGTATGTTCATCAGGTGTCTCTTCAGTGTCAGTCTTCTGTAGGTTCTGCAAAATGTGATGCTGGCAAGGCTCCAGTATCTGGTGACAGATAAATGTTGTGCAATGAGGGAAGTCTAGGCCCAGGACTGTTGGTATGTGTCCACTCTCCTCAGAAGGGACAAGCCAGTCTAACAAAGAACATGTTTTCAGCCAGGCGCAGTGGCTCACACCTGTAATTCCAGCACTTTGGGAGGCAGAGGCAAGAAGACTGCCTGAGATCAGGGGTTCAAGACCAGCCTGGGAAACTTGGTGAGACCTCATCTCTACAATAAGTCAAAAAATTAGCTCAGTATGGTGGCACATGCCTATAGTTCCAGCTACTTGGAAGGCTGAGGTGGAAGGATCATCTGAGCCCAGCAGGTTGAGGCTGCAGTGGCTGTGAGCATGCCACTGCTCTCCAGCCTGGGTGTCAGAGACTCCAACTCAAAAAAAAAAAAAGAATAATTTTCAAGAACTATTTATTTATTTATTTTAGAGATGGGGGTCTCACTGTGTTCTCCAAGCTGTACTCAAACCCAAATGATGCACCCACCTCAGCCTCCAGAGTAGCTTGCACTATAGGTGCATGTCACGACCAGTTAAGAATGATTAAGAAGATATATATTAGCTTGGACACATTAAGGGAAGCCCAAAGGTAGAAGACCTCACCATAAGAGGGGAGAAGGAGAAAGGATGAAGCGTGGAAAACAGAATGGAGGCTAGTCAATGAACAGAAGTAAGGAGAAAGTAGGATGGAATGTCAAAAGAGAGTCAGGAAGATTAAAAAAACAAGAAAAAAGAGGCCTGGCTATTCACCTTGGTGCCAGGACAACAGAGGACAATGGTCAGGTACCAGGTGAGCCACCAGCCCACCACCAAGGGCCCTCCCATACTTGTCTTCCACTCACCAGGACTAGTTCTCCATGGCCATGGCAATGTCTGGTTTGATCAACCATGTCCACCAGCCAAGTCTCCTCATTTATTCTAGTTGACAAGGGGTGGAGGCAGTAATTCTATGGAGTATCAAGTGTTTTGTGAGAGGTCAACCCAAGGTCAAGGTGATCCACCCCACACCATGACAAACCACAGTGGTGAAGATCACCTGTGCAGTTGTATGGCTGGGAAGAAATGAATCTCACAAAATGAACATTCAGGAAGGTCTCACTAAAAAAGTTCAATGGCTCCACAATCAATGACTACATCAGTGCCCATGATGCTGGCATGGGGACTGGCAAGGGCCAGCTGGTAGAAAACTTCTACTAGAGTGAGGGGGTGTGTCAAGAGGGGACAAAAAAGCCACAGATCCTGACAGGGTCAGATAATCAGGAAGTGACCCAACTGGATGGGTTGTGTTGACTTCTGACACTGGATTGTGGTTGTCAAGGTCCCAGGGCAGGTGTGGGAGTTGTTTATGCAGCAGCTAGGGAGGGGTGATAGTTGGACACAGGTCAGCACCAGGGCCAGCAACACCTCCCATGGGAACATGGGAAGGTAGAAGAAAGCCTAGACTTCAAGAGTGGGGGAGTGAGGGGACACAGTAGCCTGATCTAGTAAGAACAAGAGTACAAAGTTCTCCCGCATCGTGTCATGGTAGAACCGCCCCCCGGCCCCAGGCCTCACTAAGGAACCCCATTTATCCTGAAAGATGTACTGGCCTTGTCCTCATAGGTCAATGAGTCCTGCAACACCAAGCCAGCAGTATGATCTAAACACTAGGCATGGGACCTGGTCCTGTGTTCTGGCAACACTCTCCTATTCATACCTCCGAGACCCTACCCTGACACACTTGCTTATCCTCTCATATCTGAGAATGTGGGCCCTCCCCCAGGCCTATTGTTCTTTGGACAGCACTTCTCGCTCGCTTTCTTTTTTTTTTTTTTTTTTTTGAGTTGGAGTCTCACTCTGTCGCCCAGACTGGAGTGCAGTGGCCGCTCCCGGCCATCACAGCCTCGACTTGCTGGGCTCTGGCAAACCTTCCGCCTCAGTCTTCCAAGTAGCCAGAACTACAGGCGTGCGCTACCACACCCGGCTCATTTTGATTTATTGTAGAGATGAGGTCTCGCCAAGTTGCCCAAGTGGGTCTCAAACCCGCGGGCTCAGGCAATTCATTCACCTCAGCCTTCCAAAGGCGCGGGATTACAGGCTGAGCCACTGAGCCTGGCTTTTTTTTTTTTCACCCAGGCTGGAGGGCAGTGGTATGCTCCTGGCTACTGCAGTCTTGACCTGCTGGGCTCAGGTGATCCTTCTGCCTCAGCCTTCCAAGTAGCTGGAACTACAGGCATGTGCCACAATGCCGGGCTAATTTTTTTATTTATTGTAGAGATAAGGTCTCACCCAGTTGCCCAGGCTGGTCTCGAACCTGTGGGCTCGGGCAATCCTGTCACCTCGGTCTCCCATAGTGCTGGGATTATAGGCATGAGCCACCACACCCGGCCTGCTTCTCACATTTTTCTGCACCCACCTCTTCCAGCTAGCCATGGGTCCTTAGTCTTGTCACCTCACACTCATCTCAGGGCCCATCTGTAACCACAGCCTAAGACTCTCCTTCCCAGATCCTATCCTCAGGCCCTTTCCTGGTCCAGGTCACCAGCACACTGCAGCTCGACATCCTGAGACCATACCAGAACTCCCTGTGTCCAAAGGCCCATGTGACACCTCTACTTAGAGGTCTCCAGAAAACTCAGACTGTACACTTACAAAATTCAACTGCTTATCTCCCCTCAAACATCCTCTTCCTGTCAACTTCCAGTCGCCACGGGTGGCATCATTCTCCCTAAACACTTGGGATGGTCCTTCACTCCTACTAATGCTCACTCCCTTACCTGACATAATAGGAAATTCCATCAGCTCTATCTTGAAGATCTATCAGGAATCTGACCACCTCTCCCTCCCCTCCTGCTTCCAGTCTGGACAGGTCACAAAATAACTGTCCAGAAAAATACTACAATAGCCTCCTCACGGGTCTGCTTGCTTTCAGCCCCCACCGAAACTGTCTCCTCCACTAGTGTGTTCATTCAGTAGCAACTGGACTACTTTCAAAATTCTAACTCAGATCACGTTCATCCCTCCTCTGTTCAAAACCGTCATGGCTCCCAGCACCCTCAGCCCACCTTTAGTGGCAAACCTCCTTCTCTAACGCCCTCCGTTCCCTGCAGTGAAGACTAGAGTGTCTTCCTGAATGCTCTCGGGTCAGTCTCGCATCCGGGCTTTTGCACATGCAGATCCCTCTGCCGGTCCTCTCCCGTCTCATCATACACTAAATGGTGACCCCACCTGTGAACGCTCCACTGTTCTGCGGGGCTGCAGGAGACCCCGGACAGGTAGTTCTCAGTCGGGAACTTAGGACACTTGGTGCTACGAGTCCAGCTGAGTGGGCGCAGGAGACCCTCCCTCTATGCCTAGCTGACTGGCTCACATGCCATGCCCGCAGTCCGGCAACGGGTTGGGCTCAAGACCTCGGAGCGGGCAGCTTTTCCTGGCTTTGCTCTCCCGCTCCGTAAAGGGGACTCTGGGGAGCCGCGGGCTAGCACATTTTTTGGCTGAGGCCCCGGCGGAGCCGCCCCTCGGCCTAGGGGTTGGGGGGGCGGTAAGGAGCTCAGGGAGGGACATTCGCCGCAGTGGGGTCACGGAGGCGCAACTTCCCCGACTCTCGTGGCATTCTCGACTCTTGTGCCTTCCCCGCTCCCGTGCCTGCAGGCCCGGAGAGCCTCCAAGAAGCTGTCAGGCTACCCGGTCCCGCCGTCAGCTGCCGACAAAACAGCTAGACGCCAGAGTGACCGGCCGAGGGAGATAGCAAAAGTCCCGCCCCTACCCTAGGCGTGATTGGGCCAGCGTCTGTACCCCCCCCGGAAGTGCCCTTCCCCAAGACTCGCCGTGGCCGGCGCTGCGCCTTCTGGGTCGTGTAGTTCGCGTTGAGCAACAAGCCTCGACGCAGGACGCTCCTTTCCTCATCACCTTGGCAACGACCCAGCGCACAGTAGCTGGCTTCGTCTAGTTCCGCGGTGGGCGGCGGGCCGGGGCCAAAAGAGGCTCAGACCGGAGGTGGGGCGGGAGTTCCGGTGCCGACGGTGGACTGGTCCGCTGGCGGCCGCTGGAACAGGAGGCGTCCTGTCACCCGCCTTCGCTCGCACCGTGACTCGCAGCTGCTGGCTCGGCCTTTTTGAGCCTCGGTTGTCTCGAATGTGGAGCCAGCGCCACTCGTTTTCTGGGGTCTCCACACCCAGCCTTCGTCCCCGCGGTACCCGGAGGCGGTCCTCCGCCCTTCGGGCGCATTTTCCGTCTGGCAGGGCCGAGGTCGTGGTCAGCCTGCGCTCTCGGCTCCCACTGGAGGTGTGGGGGTTCGGCCGCGTCGTGCCCTGCCCCTCATGGCCCCGCCCGGCTCACAGGCTCCCGTGTGGCGGGCAGCGGCGCTGGTGGATACAGCGCGGGTGAGTGGAGGGCGCCCTGGGATCCCGGCCCTCATGATTCTGGAGCCCCGAAGTGGGGGGAGGCGGTTCCGGACGCTTCGCGTTCTCCTGTCATCATATGTGGGTTTGGGGCCTCGAGAGTGACTCCCCTCTGACTTCCGGAGCCCAGGCCAGGGGTTATATAGAGGGATTCCTATTTCTGAAGTCTTGTGGAACGGGGGTGTGGAAAGCTGTCCCAAGCACGAGGATCATCCTGTGTGAATTGTTTGCGGGGGATGAAATGGAAGGACTGCAGGTCTCCATTTAGTCTGGGGGAAACAGGGCTGAAGACTGGAGCTAGGCCTGGAAGGACATGCTGAAGAGCTGGGCCTCTATTCTGACAGTGGTGGGAGCCATGGAAAGCTTGGAGCAGAGGAAGGAGGTGCTTTGACTTCGGTCTTTTT